TGTTTTCCACTGTTGAAGCTCGTATAAACTGTTATATATCCACCTGCTGCTCACCACCCTCCAGCTTTACTGCACTGGCAATAAAAATCCAAACACAAACATAATTACTTCACCCAGCCAACTTTCACAAATCACTACGGGGGGTGACATTTAAGATTGTTTTTTCTTTCCAATTGATGGAGCTGCATATCTGTATTATGGGGTATTCTTCTTGTTTATTTCAACAGTAGGTGACCGGGGCATCCTTATTTTCTCACTCTGTCTAATTCTCTTTAACAGAACAGTTAACACTTAAAAACGAGAATGGCAGTTGTTGAATAGCGGAGCAGTCGCCCTCTCATAGATATCAGTTCTCCAAATGTGCCTGATTTTAATCATCAAGACATGAAGTGTTTTCCCTGGGAACTCTTTGAAAAGCTTGTCTCACATTATTAAAGAACACAATCTGTTTGTTGAAGTCAGAGCCTCTCGGGGATCTACAGCATATAAGCTGTTGATCACTTCTCTGAGGTTGCTTAATTGGTTGATGTCAGAATGTGTGATTGGCTCCATCTCTACCTGCTGTGATTTCCTCTGAACCCGCTGAAAATCCTCTCTGTGTGTGTCTTTGAGGTTTGATCCCAGAGGGGACACTGCAGGGTTACAGCAGCAGCAAAGAACAGGATATGGATCAAAACACCAGAGGATATTAAACACAGTTCAGTCACACAACTCACCTTTGAAATGTTTATTGCAGCAGCAGAATGTAGGTCCCCAGATAAGATTACATTGATATAATGGGGACTGTTGGAGCCTAAAGGGGGGTGCTGGGGTGATTGAGGGGAGGCGATACCTACATACAGGGCAGCAGAGGCAGTGGCAAGCAAAGGGAGAGATGGGAAATCTTTGCAGCTTAAACATGCCGACAAACTGGGAGGTTAGAGAGGATTGTGGGGAGTCTTTTTGCGAATTGACAGTTTGCTCCGTTATTCAGGTCGTTTCACTCTCGGTCTGCAGGCATCATCTCCAGCTCTTGCGTTTGCCGTGGGCTTAGTGAAAGGTCAATCTGCTGCAGCTTCTCTCTGGCCAGTGTCAGATAACACTGGTGTAACAGCCAGGCAGCATGTGGATGTTGTTTTTTTTACCCTTCAACATCCTGCTGCACACTGAGATACGAGCTGAGACATTTCCAGACCTCTGTGATGAGCACGCATCAGCTGATAAACGGCATCTGTTTACACTGTGTGCTCACACTTTTATTAGCAGAGAAGCTTCATGAGGAAATGATTATTCTCTTCTCTTCAAGTCATGTTGAGCTGAAGAGTTCATTAGAGATGCGGAGGAGAAGATATTTATGCTATTCGGGTAAATCCCTGTTCAGTACTTCAGTACAAGAACACCACAATGACACTCGAGTACACTTCAGTTATAATTTCTCTTTCTGAAACACACACAGACACTCACACACACACTCACTGAGTCTAATGAGTCTCAGCTAATTGCATAATTAGTTCACCTCATGAAAAAGTATGAGTGGCTTCGAGAGAATTTTCACCATCCATGACCATGTGGTTCCAGCGTGTTTGTCTGCGTAAAAGCTCACATACAGGAAGCTGACGTCCAGCATGCTTCAAACCCTGGAGAGACGCTCAGTCATGGTCATTATCACAGCACATATAACACACACCTGCACAACGAACACACAGAGACACAATCAACCTCTGTTTGTACAGTAAAGGCAATAGCTCCCTCTGCTGCTCATATGATCAAAATGGTTCAAATGCAGTCTGCACTGTACACACCCACTGTGTGCACTGCATTGCATTTTTAAACAGTGGCCTCATGTGACCCACCAACAGCCGTTTCACTGGGCTGCTGGGCTGACATGTTGAGGAATGTCCAATTGGCTGGAGTGGGAGGTGATTCGATGAAATTAAAGTGACTGGAGAGCAGCATGAGTTGACGGACAGAAAGGAAATAATTTGATTAAATCTTCTACATTGGCACCACACACAGCAAAGAAGACACCTTTCATTACAGCCAGAAGCTTTAAATTAAGTTGCTGTTGCAGTAAAGTAGGAGATGAACTTGAGCCAAACTGTCAAACAGGAAGCCAAATACCCCGGAACCATCACTTGAATAGTTACCAATACAATGATGTGAGTAGATGACTGACGACAGCAAGCTTGTGGCCAAAGGCTTCCACAGAGACCACATCCAGTCTGCTGCAATTTCACAGAAACCTCTCTCCCTGTCTGAGTTTCTGCTGAAGATCCATGTAACCTGTGAAAGCACTGAAACGTCTTTTATTTTACTGCTTCCTGTCACTGGCACCGACTGAATTCTTCTCTAATTGGTATAAAAACACACTCAATTAACAAATCACACTCTTCTGTGACAGATCACATGTCTGCTCGATAACACAATGAGAGTGAGTAGCAGCTCGGATCTTAACATGAGGGTTGCCCGCTGAGAAATATCTGTCAGTTCATAAAGAAAAGCAGAACAAAAGTCCACAGCATGTCCAGCGTTAACTGAGACATGTTGGATCTGTGCTGGAGACAAAGAGTCTTTACGGGATAACTGAGAGCGAGGAGCAGCTCACAGAGCTTTGTTCAGCTCGGAGCAAATGCCCACAGGAGCATTAATGAGACTCTGCGCTCTTCGTGGAGTAATCACCATTTATCAGAGGGATTTGTTGCGATTAAATTGACGACTGGAAATCTTTGAAGATCAGCTGGGGAGAACAGATGTGTAACTTAGTTAACTTTCCTCGAAACTCATCAGTGTTTATGTGAATTTGATAATGTCTGTAAATCTGACATTACTGTGGAATTACCCTCTGGCTTAAATAAAGAACTGTTTCTGACTATATCTATATCTGCATCTAAATCTAGAGAACAAGCAACAGGAGTGAAGGAGAATATTCCAGTTTCCTTATCAAACCACATTTAAATCCTATTTTATTTTGATCTGCACCAAACAGGCATCAGTCCCCTAAACCTGCCCGATTTTCTAAATCACTCTTTTCTCCCAATGTTACAGAAAAGTGAAACTAAAAATTCTGGATCTGCTTCTTGATCCATGTCCTCACCAAAGTTTGATTATTGTATCTACCCTCTCTTGATGAGTGGCAGCAGAAATATCCAGTGTGGATCTCAACACCTAAGCAGGAAAAACTAAAACTATCTGTGAACTACAAGCTCCACGCGTTAAAGCTCAGCTCATCACAGTGAATTATAATGACAGTATATGCATGAGTCCCTCTTGTTTCAGTTTGAAGTAATTAACTTCCCTCTTGCAGTCTTCCTCATCACGAGCCTCAGTCTCCAACAACCTGAGGTGAGATATAAAATAAATCTCTTTGTCCAGCTGGTCTCAAGGAGAAAAAGCCTCGGGCCTTATGTAGTTTGACCAGTATTACTACAGACTTATGTCTATACATCAGCACAGTCACCATGAAATTGAAAATGCAAAGAGCGGATCCACTTTTAGCTGGCAAACCCTAAAGTTACCATCTCACATGCAGAGTTAGTCTCCGTGTCTGCCCGTCCGTCAGCTGCTGCCTCATCTTCCTCCATCTTGAAAGCAGCGAACACACTTTGCATCCAATACGACACAAACTGTAACTCTGTATTAACCACAGAGCAAACGCACATCAGAAACCAAGCGTGCAAATCATAAGTTGTCATTAGTCAGAGTGCAGAGCAGAGGTAATGTAACATACAACCATAGAGGCATTACCCTGATTCTTATGGGCATTGAATCCACTTAGATGCACTTACACAGTTTCAGAAAAGCAACCTCTGTGACCTTAGTGCACAGGAGCTGAAATGTATCAGTCAGCGATAGTCTGTGCTCCAAGACACCTGCACATTATGTTTCATATGTTGATGCTTTCTATATATATGGAAGAATGGATGGATGGACTTTATCGATGTCATAAGCCCTCAGTTGTTGTCAGTCACTTCACTGGTTCATTGGATTTGTGTTCTGTGATCAGTTATTGTTCGGTAATTGAAAACGTCAAAACCCGAGACTTGTGACTGATTCACTGTTAAACACGTTGATGCTGAACTTGAGACTCGTGTGACAGCAGAAGTTAATGTGGCTGGAGCACTGTCACACCTCTTACCTCATTCTCCTTCTACTTACTCCACATTTATCATCACCGTGTGTGTGTGTGTGTGTGTGTGTGTCTGCAGGAAGAGGGATGGGCTGATTCATCATCCTTTGCAGACGCGCTTAGAAAGCAGCTCCCTGGATGTGGCTCTGTTCCCCTCCAGCATCAAATATTCAACACACACCTATTTCCAGTCGTTTCCCCGACGCTTCATCTCTACACCCATGCAGCAGCCCTCTGTGGAATGCTGATAGTGTTTACCTACAAGCTGCAAGTCTGCTGAGGACCTTATAACTTCTCTCTTATGGAAAACAAAGTGCAAGTAACCAAATACTGGGACCAGCAAGTTATGATCATCAAAATTGCAGCTGATTTCAAAATATAAAATTTTGCAATCCAAACACTGGCTCTCAGCCCTGATGCAACGTGCATTATTTTTCTTTTAACAAACTGTATGCATAATGTCCAGACCTCACAGTCACCACAACCAAAGTCCATTCAGATATTACCATTTTTGACAGCCAGTTGTACTCAGTATGATCCCGGCATCATTATCAGAACCTGTCAATCATTGTTGTACCAGTTTTCTGCTAATTTATCCAGATATTAAAAGTGTAATTTTCTTATTCTTCATGTTTAAGATGAATGAATGCATCATTTTTTGTACACGTTTTACAAAACAGCCACTTTCTTTGCTTTACAACAAAACTATTTAACCACTACAGCTTATTCCAATCAATTAAATTACATTTCCCTATACCTTTAATTCAAAGGATTTCATATTTCATCACAAACACATTTGCATGTCTTGAATATTTATACTTTAGATAAACGACTCAGAGCAAAACATTTTTCCATCTGTCTCTCAGACCTCAGCTCCATAACATTCTGAACTTACGTGTTCCAGTTTGTCTCTCCTGCGGAGCCAGATGCTGGCTGAGTATTCCTGCTGCTGCACTGCTGTTATTATCGAACTGGCCGGGGTCCCTGGGGCCGCGATGCCGAAACCTAACCCCTGACCCCTCAGGTCCTGGCCACCCATCGGCCCGCGGGTCCCTCGCAGTTCCATATAACTAGATACTCGGATGGTTGGCGCCGATCTCTTTCAGTCTTGATGAAGAAACTGGTTAATTTGTTAATCTCGTGTTGATGGCTGGAGAAAACTCTTCTTTTTTGGGAGGCATCATGTAAAGTCAGCGTAACGTGGAAAATTTGAAAAATCGATAAAATTAATAATCCAGTAAAAGGTGGTGTTTGCTGCAAGCATCCAGCTCCAAGATGATGAATGCAGAAACAATATCACAGGATATCCTTGTCCTCGCCTTATTTTACCACCAATTTACTTAAAGACACAAGATCTTAGTTTGAAGCTTTACCTTCTTCAAGTGAAATGAGAAGTAGCTTTCACACCCCTGTGCTCGTAACGAGGGGGCATCCCTCTCTTCACCAGTTTTGGCAAATGTCCACAGGCTGTTGAAAATTCTCCTCCATCAAAGCTGAGCTTCACCTTCTCTTGACAGCTGATCACAGACCTGTTAGGCTCAAGGACTCAGACCATTCTGATCGGGGCTTCCACTGATTCAGGTATCCCCAGTGTGTGTTGTGTGTGTGTGTGTGTGTGAGGGAGAGGAGGAGAGTGGAGTAGGGAGGGCTGGAGAAACTCCAAGGAAGAGGTAGAATAAGCGAGAGGACAGAGGGAGGTGATGCAGATGATGGAGAGAAAGGAAAGAGGCACCAGTGTGTCACAGCTTTGTTGCAGACCTCTCTCTCACTACTATATATCACTTTTTTTCAACCTGTACTCTCTTTCTCTTGCACACTTGTTTGCTGCCTGCATGCAAAGACTTTTTGTCTGGTGGGTTTTCAGCACTCCCAACTCCCGAAGTTTTCCTCCTCTTTTACTTATTGCTCTCCCCTTTGGTTCGATGGACAGGATGGCAACACATCTGCACGCACCTCGGACTGCTCATATAGACAAACACACACACACACACACACCTTGGCACATCACATCAGAGTGGTGCAGTGGGGCTGCAGCAGCCCTTCTTCCTTTCCTTGGCTTGGCTCCGTGTGCCAAACAAGCAACAGAGCTTAAAAACTTTAATTAGCTTATAGATGGCATATGGGCAAACCCATACAGGCTGCATGCACACACACACACACACACACACACACACACACACACACACACACACACACACACACACNCACACACACACACACACACACACACACACACACTAAGATCTAAATGTTGAAATCATCAGTGGCAAAAAGCCAAAGCACCTCAAGTCTTTGAAATGGAAACAATCCATTTTAATTGCATGCTTTCACTCACAGCAACTGCTGTTGAAATGCTTTACCCTCAGCAGCCACAGAATACTGCTGCAAAGATCCACAGCTTATTATCATATGAAAAAATATAAGTGGTGTCCAATTATATTAAAGGAATATAAGGAAGCTAGAGCTGCCACTTCATGGTTCAATGGTCAGGCATGGTCCTCTTCTGTTCCTGAGATATACTGTAGTGTTGAATAATGGCCCCAGGGGTGTTTTTGCAGAATAGCATGAAGTCACAGTGAAGTTCAGCTTTGAGTGTTCAGATATTAAGATTTTATCACTTCATCTTGTTAATCCAGTCAAACATTTGACTGGAAATTTGTCACAACCATCACATTATTTCTTTATGAGTTGTGGCCAAAAATGTTGTTTTGTGACAAAAGAGCCCGGTGGGAAAAGTAAATTGATACATTTCAAAAACAACTAAATGGCGTTTCAAGAAACTTGGTGGAAGGCTGGGACAAGGGAAAAGCTTTTAAATCTTTTTTAATGCACAATGTTTGACAGATTTCCCAGGGAATGATTATAATTAGGGGACTGGTGCTTGTGTGCAATTTGGTGCAGCTTGATTGAAGTCAAAGGGACTTTTGGGCCTTAAGATTTGAACTCTTCTCATCATCAGGGTGATAATCAGGAAGGGTTTTCAATTTTGAAAGCGAACACACAGGAGCATCAGATCTGTATCCAATTAAGTCGTGTCTCAGCAGTGCAGGTCTGTCTGGATAGTAAGTGAACAAGTGTTTGTAGCACATTTTGTGTTTGTTATTAAGTAAACTGAAAGAAATTCAAATTTTATATTATCAGTAAAAGAATCACATCACCTGAGACTGGAACCTAACTACCCACAAACTCAGACACTCAGTGAATCTGTGTTATCTCTGACATTTGGAAATATCCCCCTCTCATCTGTGTCAGTATTGTTTAGCTTATTTATCAGTTCACTGAGACAAAGAATCCATATTTCAGTAAATGTAGTGTTTTCTAATGATGTAAAGTGGGAGGTGTTTTTTTTCATCCCCTCTCAATAACGCTGTGTCATGCACATTTGTGATTAAACTAAATAAATAAAAAATCTAGCTCCTTCTAAAAAATCGTTTCCCTCTGATTCAGTCCTGATTTATTCCAATCACATTTCTCTGAGCTGGCAGAGCGCGCTGTATCAGTGACCATCAGAGGAAACACACGCTGAATACTGAACACCGAGGGTGATCAGGGAAGTTAACTGAACACGGGCCAACTCGAGCCCCAACAACACAGCCACTTTAAAAGGCTCTCAGGTTTAAACCATGAAATAATGCATCGCACAGCATGGCAGACTATAAAGGTGTGTCACTGAGGAAAAGCTTTGTGTGAACCAGATTACATAAGAAGATAAAAAACATTGCTCACTATGCAGAACCATTGCACCTCAGTGCGTCACAATGTAAAGCACCACAGGGATCAGTTTATCCATGACAACATGAGAAGATACAGCAGAGCAGAGGTTCCTGAGGCAGAGGAGTGGTTATGAAACTATATTTCAGGGGCAGCTGGGAGCAGTTGGTTCACTCGCATGTAATGAAACCAATCAATAATATTTTCCCACCGAGGGATGTCTTGTTTTTGTTGATTTCCTTTCCTCAACAAGTCAGCACAGTGCCAGTTTTAATCAGAGTTTCATACTGTATCAGCTTCCTGCCACAGAACTGATGTTCATATGTACTTTCATGTTCTTCTCAAGTTTTCTCCTTAAGAACCATTTAATCTCCCAATTTATGTAAATACTCAATTAAATAAGTGCATCTTCTGACTTTCCTGCTGCAATAACATCACTGATGGAGGACGAACCCAAATATCTCTTCCTGAGGTAAAAGTATACTTGCGTTAAAATAAACTTAAGATCCTTGGAAGCATACAGAGGCTTGAGGCTGCAGCGACTGCAGGGTCATTTCAGTTGTGACCCTCCCTCACTTTCTGTCCCCATTTTACGCTCACTGAGTGAATATATTTGAAAATTAAAAAACAACGTGTACATGTAAGGAGTAGAAAGTACAGATATTTGCTGATATTCATTAATGTACTGCAAAGTGTACAGATTAGTACAGATCCATGAAAAATGTATAAGCGCAGTAACAAAGTAAATGTACTTGGTTAAATCCCACCAGTCACTGACTTTCAGAAGACATTCTGATTTACTCATTGCATTAACAATGAAGTACATTTTAAAGTACTACTTTAAGTGTACTGGAAAAAACACTCTCCTGCTTTTATGTCCTGAAACTGCTCAGGGCTGTCTCCTCCCACCGTTTGAGTTATACAGGTTATATCTGCACAAACAACAATTGAGGTTTATGTCTGTGCTATTAAAACAAAGCCCCTGCTTTGTATGAAAGTAATAACTCAGCAAGCCGTGTTAAATAATACATGAGGCTTTAGTCACAAAGCCGCAAATGAATCATTAAAATCAAGCTGACAGAAGGAAGTGCAACATACAGTGAATCCATTTGCTGCCCCTGAAGTTTATGGCATATGAATGCACATTGTACTAAAGCACATCCCTGTGATGATTCCCCCGAATGCTTCAATGACCTTTCCTTTACATTACTCAGCCAACTATGCCTCAGCCAAAATCAATAACCTCCCCCCCCCCCGAACCATCAACAGCCAACCTTACCTCCATCACTCCGCTCAGCTCCCACACGCCCGCAGACCAGCGTTCAGTTTCAGGGAAAAGAAGTATGCAAACTGTTTAATTCCAGCTTGAAGAGACCATTAAATATTGTAATCCAGTGCAGGTTGGTCCTGTGATAAGACCGATTAAGGAAAGGTTAATGGACTCTGTGTCTTGCCGAGCGTGAGGATTAAACATTTCCTGAGGCCCTCTGGAGGAAACCGCAGAGTACAGTCCAAAAAGTAATAATTGTTTGTGGCAAGACTAATCTTTTAAAATGAATCCAAAGCACAGAGCGTCACAGGCCGTGCTCTCCTACAGTTCCAGTCTCGTCCCATCTCTCAGTCATCCTCTCTGACACGACCTCTCTTCTCTTTCTCGCCTTGTGACTCCGAGCTCCGTCATTCACTCTCACCATAACAGCCTCCATGTGAATCACATATGCGGCCCGTCATCCACCCTCTCAGTGCAGAGGAAATGTGACCCATTCGTTTTTACTTCAACCCACGCAACACATTGTACGTCACTAAAATTGTGTCATTGTATTGTATTGTATTGTATTGTACTTTTCATTCCTCACAATCTCTCTTCCATCTTAACACGGAGCTGCAGCAGTGTTGGCAACACATTGGTGTAAACTCAAGCACCTGGTTGCCTCCATGACACACTTCCTCTCTAATTATTTACTCCAGCTCTTTCCTTTGCTCTCTCACGCACAATCTCCAGCACCAGTAATAAGCTCACACTGCATAGTTTTCACAGGAAGTTCAAGCGAAGTAGGCAGTTTCCTCTGAGCTGTGAGGTTTGTGTAAACCACTCTCTACGATTAATATCTGAAATGAAATGCAACATGCACGAAGGCTTCTTCACTGATAACAACATCAATGACTTTATCTGGGATATTTTGTAAAATGGTAGATATGTATGTAGATATTGCTCATGTTTGGAATAAGTGAGCGTCTGCTGGTTAAATAATTTTCTGAATAATATTCTGAAGTTATATTAAACCTGTATCTGTTCATACGGTTTATAGTTTTCACAGTGAGTGAAGTTTTCAAGTTTTCAAGCTGCTTCTAAAATGTAGAAAATCTAAAAGCACATGCAGTGCAGGGAAGAAACCAGCAGAGGGCGGTAAGATTCATTTTCAACAAACTCTGATAAAAGAGAAGAAGACAGGTGACGTCAGCATCAACAACACTGAAGCTATGGCTAATGACAAGGTCGGTGCTTTTTAATGATATATATAATATAACAGTGCTGATCGGTAATGTTGCTATATTATATATGAGTGCGTCACATTTACACCTTCATTCACGAGCATCAACTAGCTTCTGTGACGTTAAACAAAATGTAGTCAGGCTTTTCTTCAGCTGCTCTAGTTTAACTGTTAGCTTAATGCTAGTGGTCTTATTAGCGTATGTAAATGAATGAAAGTTACGCCAGAATCTTGGTGTGTGTTGTTTTAACAAGACACTTACAGCAACTGAAGTGAATGGAAGAATTAGCTGTTGGCTAACTGCTAACTCAACGCTGAATTAGCCGATTTTACGTCACTAGTTTAAAGTTTAGTGTGACGTTCAAAAAGTGAGACAGACGTGAGCTTCTGTACTTCACGTGCTACACAGCAAACACATAAAGATGTTAGTGTTGACTTTACTCCACTTATCTGGTGTTGGTCAAGTTAATGTTAGTTTACTGGTATAATCTTAAAACCCAAGTTACCAAAATGTGTGTGTGTGTGTGTGTGTGTGTGTGTGTGTGT